CTGTGGGAGGAGTTGGGGAAGGCCCTCGGAGGTCATGAAAGCACCTCGAGGGGACAAGCAGCTCTGAATGAGAGAGCTGCACACGGAGGGGAGAGGAGCAGAGTGTGGAGTCTCCTGGGTCACCTTTGAGTCTGGCCTTTATCTCGGAGCCATGGGCAGCCACTGAAGGTTAAGAGGAGGAACAGGCACAGAGCAGTTTGGCAGATCTTTCTGCTGTGGGGTGGGGGTTGGAGGGCCGGACCCAGGGGGCTGGGAGGAGGCAGGAGGCTGCTGCAGACACGGGGAGGGAGGTGGAGGGTGTTGCCAGGGCAACAGGAGGGGCTTCCCCACTCCAAAGGCGGTCCTGGGCAGGAGGCCTGGGCTTGACAGGCAGAATCACCAGGGAAACCGACGGGAGCTCAGGTTAGCAAGAGCTTTCTTGTGACAACGTGCCCACCTTAGAGGTGGGCCTGACCAGACGGCGGGGGGACATTCGAGCCTTCCCCTGGGTGGACCCTCCCAGCTCGGGGGTCTCACAGGGTCCACAGCCGACCTTGACAGCAGGGTCTGTGTGTGGATTGTCTCATTGAATCCTCACCACCCGCTGTGGGTGAGCCCTGTGGTCATCTTATTTTATGATTGAGGAAACTGAGGCCCAGAGAGGTTAAGTCACTTGCCTGAGAATACCCAGCAAAGACAGCTAACGTGGGCACGTGGCCCTGGGGGTCTCTGACTCCGGAACCCTCACTGTGGCAGGTGCACCGAGGCCAGAGGGCCTTGGCCCAGGTGGTGGATGGGAGGGGTCTTCAGGATGAGCTAGAACCATGGTTCTTTACTTAGAATTTAGGGGGTTCATGAACTTGGATAGGAAAAAAATTACATCTGCAGTTCACTGGCCTCTCACCAAAATTCAGCACTTCCTTTAACCGTGAACGTGGGAGTGTCAGCCATGCCAGTGCCCATGACGTCGGCACCAGCAGAGCTGTCTGCACCCGCCGCTTTTGTAGGTCAGCAGCCGAAGATCGGAATTTCACGGGGTTCAACCCAACATTCGCATCACATGTCGCGGACGCGGCGTCTCAGAGTGGGGCTCACTCTCGGCGCTGCTTCAAAATCGTAGTTGAATAAAGAGCACATATCACCACACCAGGAATTTTCTAACAATTTGGCAAGTATGTTTCCATTGTAATTATATGAGCGTATTTGTGCTCTCAAAAACATTGTTTCAAGGGGCCAGCCAGGTGGCATAGTGATTAAGTTCACAGGGTCCACTTCAGTGGCCCAGTTCATGGGTTCAGATCCCAGGCACGGACCTGCACACTGCTTGTCAAGCCACACAGTGGCAGCAACCCACATACGAAGTAGAGGAAGACTGGTACAGACGTTAGCTCAGGGCTGATCTTCCTCACCAAAAAAACCCCTATTATTTTGGGAAGAGGCCCACAGGTTTCACCAGACACCAAAGGGGCCCTCAGTGCCAGACAGGTTGAGACTGGCTGATGCTGGTTCCGGTTCTCCTGAGTTGTTTCCAGGACGGGGTCAGCCTCTGGACCCCAAAAGGCAGAGCTACTCTCCTCCCGCCAGGAAGCGTGCTGTAACTAATGGCCACCGGGGACCCTGGAGCCCAACATCACGTGTGCAGGATTTCCACGTGTCCACCAGCCACGCACAGGGCACCTTCCCTGTGGCTCTGGGTATGTTCAGCAGTGCCCTGTACTGGGGAGTGGCAGGTGAACCAGCCCTGGACTCGCCTCACTTGTTCTGCCCTGAACGAGCCCATGGGGGCAGGTCTTTTCCTGCCCCATCCCTGTCACCCACCGCCTTCTGGCCACACCTCCTTTGGGACTCGGAAGCAGAGGTCGGCCACCTGCTAAGCGCTGAGTTAGAGGGTGCTGGCCTGGCTTGGCTCACATGGAGCTGCCCACATCTCCCTGACCCGCCTCCTCCGGGGCTGCCTTGTGACTTGTATCCCTCTTCTGGGGGCTTTGTGACTGGGGACATCACCCCTGTGGGCCATGGTCCTTCTTCTGTAAAGTAGAGCTGAAATGAGACTTGCATAGAATCATGTTTCCACTGATACACCCACCCACCTACCCACCCACCTTCCCATCTACCCATCCACCCATTCATGCAAACTATCCGATCATCCATCATTCATCTATCCACCTACCCACCCACCCATCCATCCATCTACCACCCATCTACCCACCCATCCATCCACCCACCATCCACCCATCCAACCATCTGTCCACTCATCTACCCACACATCCATCTACCCATCCACCCATCCATCCATCCATCTATCCACCCATTCACCCACCCACTCATCCACCCACCCATCTACCCATCCACCCATCCGTCCATCCATCTATCCACCCATCCACTCATCCACTAATCCATCCACCCACCAGTCATCCATCCATCCACCCACCCACCTATCCATCCACCCATCCACCCACCCATCTACCCATCCACCTATCCACCCACCCATCCATCCATCCATCCACCCATCCATCCACCTATCCATCCACTCATCCAACCATCCATTCATCCATCCATCCATCTACTCACTCACCCATCCATCCATCCACCATCCATCCATCCCCCACCCATCCATCCACCCACCCATGCACCCATCCATCCATTCATTCACCCAGCAGTCATGGGCCTCCTATGTGCCAGGAAAGGAGGAAGAAATAAGACACGCAGACTGGCAGGCTCCCCCACCCACCTCCGCCCTTTGTCATCTCCCCCTCTGTCTGCCACTGGCATGGGTCCAGCTCTCTGGCCATGCTGCAGGCTCCTGAAAACCTGTAGGCAAGACTGCCTCCAGGCCCCTCTACCTGGAATCCCCACTTCGCCCTCCCCAGAGGCAGCTCCTAATTGATCTCTCAGACACAGCTTCCAAAGCACCTTCCCGACCGTCACACAGGCCACATCTGCTGGAGGCTCATTGATGGAATGTCTGTCTCCCATAGGTTCCCAGAGAGCAGGAACAGGGCTGCCCTGGGACCTGGCTAACCCCAGCATGGGCCCTTATAATGTTTGGGGGGAAGGAGGGGGCAAGGAGGGCAGGTCCCTGGCTCCCTCTACCCACCCCCATGCAGACAGGCAGCGGTCTCTGGAGGGAGCAGCCCTGGGACCAGGCTGGGCAGGCTCAGCGCCCCACCCTCCTGCACCCCTCCTCCTGCAGCCACTTCCTCCTCAGCTCCTTATCTCCCGGGCCGCCCAGCTCCGAAAGCCACAGCCAACGTCCGCTTCCCCACAGGCACCAACTGCCCTGCCCTGGGGAAGCAGGCCTCAGGCCAGTGCCCCCAAATTGGCCAGCAAGGGGCCAAGCAGGCCCCACCCCCCACTCATGGGCAGCTATCTTCTCTTTCCAACCCAACCCCTGTCGGCCCCGCTGGTTAGAGAACCAGGCAGGACACGAGGCCCCCTCACGAAAGTGGAAGTTTCCTGTCTGTGGGGGCTGCTCCACAGGTGCAAGTGGCCCGGACATCTGCCTGGCGTGGGAGTGGGGGCTGTCCCCCTAGGCTGCGTCCTGCCGCCTTCACAGGGGACCTGGGCCTCCCCAAGACCCTCCCACTTCCCGGCTCTGAGGTGCCCTTGGAAAACAACAACAAGAGCTTTGACGAGAATACTAATACTGGCGGTCGGAGTCACAGCTGCATGGCTGCGTGCTGACCACGTGGCAGGCCACACTCGCTCAGCGTTAGTGCAGCCACCCCTCCCAGACACAGTCTGGGACCTGGGGCCACCGCGATTACTGCGTCACGCCGAGGAGGAAACGGGCCAGTGCGGGGTGGCCAGGTTGACCCCAGGACCTTGCATCCCACCCTCAGTCAGAGCACAGGAGGCAAGGAGGGGCCATGAGGACAAGGGTGATGCCCAGGGGCCAGCCCCTGCCAGGAACAAACACAGCCTACTTCAGAGTGACACAGGCTCGTTCCTGCAGTGACTCTAGAAGGATGTTGTGATGGGGTGTCCTCTGGGGAAAGACACCAGGAGACACGGGGTAGGAGTTGGGGGTCCTGCTATTTCCCGCCCGCCCTTCTGCACTGCCTGGATTGTTCACCGTGTGAGGCATTCCCTAAAAATTCCGCTCGATTCAATCAAAGTAGCAGAGAAGCCTGTGTGTCCACCCCGGGTCTGCCAGTCGCACACCGCTGGCCTGCGTGAGATACCGTGCCAGCAGCCGTGGTTGGGTCCCAGGGAGCTGACCGCCGGGTCATGGGGGGTACAGGGCACGCAGGCTCCTTCATGGGGCCACGCCTCGCCTGCCATCTGCCCACAGTTGTTGTGCCTTTAGTAAGTGCTTCATCCGGGCCTGGGATGTGTCTCGCCTCCTCTGCCAGGTGCCCCATGGGGAGGGGACCCTAGGATACCCCCTAGGGCCTGAGTGGTCACAGAGGCCTCTGACACGGTTTCTGGAATCCCTCAGGCAGGGGAGCAGCCCCAACCCCGAGGAGCCAAATTCTATCCGTGGGCTCAAATCGGCCACTGTCCTCACAAAGCCTCTGTCAGGGCGCAGGGAACAGGTCTCCAGGAGCCCCATCCAGGAGGCCGTGACCCCCAGAGCCCTGAAGGAGCCAAGCACAGAGTAGCCAGCGGGTGATGCTTCCAGGGGGGCCAGAGCCAGGGACCCCAAGCAGCAGCCGGGGGGGCCTGAGGGGTCAGGCCTGGCCAGACCACCGGACCAGGACCGGCCAGGACTCACCCCGAGATCTGGCCCAAGGGCATAGCTGAGGCCCCCTGATGGTTGACCCTGGGAAGGGGGCTCTGGGGGAAGTCTGGCCGAGGGCAGGAGAGGGAGGAGACCCCAGGCCATCTCAGGCTGAAGGAAGGGCCAGCCCTGGGGGACACAGGCGGGTGGGGCATGTGGGACGGAGGGCTCTGCCAGGATGGACACTGTCCCCAGCCAAGGTCAAGGAAACACACCCAAGGCCAGGCCGTCAGGGCTCGGGGTGGGTGGGGTGTCAGAGCCAGGCGGGAGGAGGAAGTTGTTGGACAGTCAGACCGGAATGGCCGCGAGGAAGGCAGGGCAGGGCCGGGCCCAGATGGTTCCTGTGGAGGAAGCAGCGGGCACAGCTGCACGCCTGCTTCCCGGCCCGGCCGCACTATCTTGGTGACACAGCTGGCCGCCTCGCCTGCAGGCTGCGGGGAGACCTCCCCTACAGCGGCCTCCCCAAGCCCGCCCCGTCACATGAGCCCCTGCGGCCCCCCGCCCCTTCCCCAGGCCGCAGGCAGCGGCTGCTAGAAGGCCCCGAGCGGCCTGGGGGACGGAGGCCTCCGGCTCTGAGGAGCCCAGGCTGGCCGCAGCCCCGCGTCTTCCCTCCAGGCCCCACGAGGTCAGGCGGGGCACTCACAGCCACGCTTGGGCTCCGGCCCCACGTTGGCCACTGGAGGGCGGCCAGCCTCACGCCCAGCGTAGGATTTTCCATCTCCTGGATCCACCTCCAGCTCCATGTCCCGGGCATCTCCTGAGCTGGAGAGCGGGCCCCTGGCCTCCACCAGCTGCTCGGCGCCCCGGGGTCCCAGGAAGGGCGGCCCAGGTAAGGGGATGGGGGGCAGGGGCGGGAAGACAGCCGGAGCAGGTGGCCGGAGTGTGACATCTCCAAGCTGCCGCCGCCCGGCTCTGTTGACAGCGAGCGCCCGCCGTGTTGACTCACCTCGAACGGCAACAGGCCTCCCCACAGGGCACGGACCCACACAGCTGGGGCAGGTGGCCCGGGAGGACCCGGCAGGTGCCAGGCCAGGCGTGCAGGCCCCACCCAGAGGCAGATGTTGGAGGTGGGGGCTGCCCAGTCCTGTCCAGGAGGGGGTGGGCTCTGTCCTCCTCGATGGGCAGGGTCCTAGGAGCCAGTGAGGAAGGTGGTGTGCAGACAGGTGGGGGCCTCGCACAGAGCCCTCCTCCTGGGAGGCCCTAAGACTTGGAGGTCGGATGAGGAAACTGAGGCCAGAGGGGAAAGGGCCTGGCCGAGGGCCCTGGGAGTGACTGAGGGTGTGGGACTCAACCCCAGCCGCCTGCCGAGGAGCCATCCCAGCCAGGGCTCCTGTGCGAGGGCCAGTGCCAGACGGAAGTGGGGACGCGGAGGGCAGGGCCCCTCGCCCCCTGTGGGCGCTGGCTCGGGGAGGGGGCCCCTGTGGATCTCCTGATCCCCCGACCCCAGCTGCAGAGCCCCTGGGGCCTTACAGGGCCTTGTCCCAGGGCATGGGGGCTGGCCGAGCCTCGAGCTCCCCAGCCCACGGCCACGTGGCCACACTCCAGGCAGGCTTGGGGACCTCCCAGGGTTCATGGTCTCCTCTACTGCTGCAGTCACCTCCAGGGGCCACACGGCCCCTGAGCCCATACCCAGCACCCCAGCCCAGGCCAGCCCTGCCCCTCTGCAGAGGGACCACTGCCCCTGAGTAGTGCCCACCCACTGCTGTCCTGGCCTGAGGACCAGCCCCCGACACGGGGTTCTGTTGTCATCAGACACTTTCAAACCTGGAGCGCCCGGCATACAGGCGCCCGACTTCACACGCGGTGACGAGCGTGTTTTTGGCTTCTCCCAAGTGCGCGTGATTCAGGGGAGGGGCCGGTTGCCAGCACTAGGATGTGGTCACCCGGATCCCGTCCCTGCTCCAGGACCCGTCTGGCTCCTTGTGGCACAACTCAGCTGCCCCCTCCTTTCCTGGGATGGCCCCGCCTGACCCCACTGTCCTGGAACCAGCTGCCAGGTTCTGCCACCCGCCACTGTGCCCTTGCACCAGCCCTCCCTGACCTGGGCCTCCGTTTCCTCATGTGGCAAACCCGTCCTGTCCTCCTGCTCCCTGATGGAGTATAGGAGCGGCTTCCCAAAGGCTGGGGAGGGTGGGAAGGGGCAGGTGCGGGGGTGTGAGAGCTGCTGGCTACTGTTTTGTTTGGATGGGGGTGTCCACCGTGGAAGGAGTTTGAGGCCAGGAGGTGGCAATGACCCCCTACTGTGCTTGCAAGTCACCTGCGTGTTGGTCAGGCTGCAGATTCCTGGAACAGATGGTCTAGGTGGACCTCTGACACAGGGTCCCAACCACTGGTTCATTGGCCCCATGGTCACCATACATCCCAATAGGGCGCTGCTTGCCTGGGGGGCTTCTCTGGGAGGAGGGAAAGCAGGGGGCGTTGGCTCATGTGTTGGGCTGGGGCCTACGTGGATGCAGGGGTACCAGTTTTGGGACACTCTGGCTTTTGGGAGCCCCCATCCTGTCTTTTTGAAATCACCTGGCCCCATGGGACAGCCATGGGACATCCTGCTCCCCAGGGCCCCCCCAGGGGGACAAATGCTTGGGCCCACAAGGCCAGAAGTCACCAGCAGGGCAAGCAGCAGGCGGGGCCGTGCTGGAGGGAGCCCTCGGGGCCCGGGGTCCAAGTGTGGACAGGCCGGCGGGCAGCAGCTCCACCGCAGCTTCCCCAGAGTCCATGAACACCTTTGAGACCCCAAAACGTGTTAAGTGGCTCTAAATTACAAAGCGAGCAGCAAGTGAGAGCTTTCAAAGCTGAAGCCCAAGATCCTCTCATTAGGGAGCCAGCGTGGGTGAACACGGCTGCGGCCGCCCTGCTGCTCAGAGGGAGGCCGGCAGGCGGGGGCTTCCGGGCCCAGGGTGTGGAGGACGAGGCCTTCGCCCCTCTGATGGTTGGCCCCCCTGCAGAGTGCCTGGCAGCCTTGAGCAGCCTGGCCCCTCCCTGGCGCGTCCCCCTCGGCAGGCCTGGACTCTCAGCAGCCCCGCGGTGGCAGAGGGTCTGGGCCCAGTCAGGACCCACAGCGTGGAGCGGGGAAGCCAGACTGCGACTGCGTAGCACAGAAGGAACAGCCCATTTAGAGGAGAGTTTGCTGTACTCGGATTTATTAGGCGCCTATGGCATGCACTAGGAGCTCAGATTTATTAGGTGCCTACGGCATGCACTAGGAGCTCAGATTTATTAGGCCTACGTCATGCACTAGGAGCTGTGCAGGTACCAAGGGACTTGTCCCAACAAGCCTGCTTTCCAGATGAGGAGACTGGAGGTCACAGGTACTGGGCCCCCAGGAATGAGAGGTGGGAACCAGGGTGCACAGCAGAGGGTGCCGGGACGGAGGCACTGAATCTGCTCACGGATTTAGCCTGAAGCACAGGACGCTGGGGAACAATGTACTGTGACCACCCTGGGGGAGAGACCCAGTCGGGTCTGTTCGGTGAGAGGGATGGCATGGGGTCCAGGTGGCAGAGTTCAGCTTAAGCACGACCAGGGAGGTAGTGAGTGTCCCCGAGCCGGAGGAGTGCAAGCAAAGACAGGCAGGATGTCAGGGGCGTTGGGATGTGGAGGGCGCCATCTGTGAGGAAGCCTGGAGCTGGCCAGAGCCCAGCCTTGGGCCACCTGGTCCAGGGGAGCGGGGTTCAGAGGCCACCACTGTCCCCAATGCCTGGGCTCCTCCTCCCACGCACCCTCCCCCCATCCTCGCCCTCCTGCCTCCAGCTGCCCCCCACCGCAGGCTCTTCCCCTGGAGCGCCCTGGAGCGCCCCCCCTCCCCGTGACAAATGGCCACAAACAGCTGACTTAAGGCAGCAGAAATCCGTTCCCCCAGCTCGGGTGCTCAGAGTCCAAAACCCCGGCGTGGCAGGGCCGCGCGCCCTCTGGAGCTCCAGGGCAGAGTCCTTCCTGCCTTGTCCAGGCTCGGCGGCCCCAGGTGTCCCTGGCAGAGATGCAGTCCCACATCACCGCATCTCTGCCCCCGCCTTCACGCCGCCCTCTTCTCTGTGTCTCTGTGTCTCTCCTCTTCTTATGAGGACAGCTCTCATTGGATTTAGGGCCACCTCAATCCAAGTGACCGGAGCTCCAACCACCCCGCCCGCATCCCGGGCAGCAGGCCACGGGGGAAGGGGCCCAGAGCCCACACAGCACCCTTCTCTCACCACCCACGGCCGGGGCTGGGGCACGCGGCCTCCAGCTGCAGCGGGGCCGGGCACCTCAGGGGAGTGGCTCTCGGGAGCCCGCGTGGGCTTGGCCCGACCCCAACGCCCCACTTTTCATGCAGCCACAGCCCCTGGCCGGGCTGTCAGGGCCTGTCGGGAGATGCTCAGTGTGGATGCTGGAGGATGCACACAGGGAGGCCGGGGTCTGGGGTGGGCATGCGCGTGAGAGGATGTCCCCGCCGTGCACGTGAGGACAGAGCCCCTAGTAACCGTCTGGCCTGTGACCCTCCACCCGCTACCCGCGTTTGTGTGCAAAGTACCATCAGCACCGCGTTATGTGATTCATCTGTATCGTCGCCCTGTGAGGTATGGCCCCCATCCCTGCTCTGTGCACGCCCTGCAGGGGCATCTCCACTCGCTCAGGCCTGACACACACCCGCGTTGACAGACCTGCCTTCCACCTCCTGTTCCCCCTCTTGTTGACCATGCAGTGCTGGGGATCCTGTGTCAGGATTGAGGCTCAGGGCCTGACAAGCCCCACGTGCTGCTGTGACTGTCATCACAGAAGAACATACTGAGGTTCAGAGGGGCACACAGCAGACAAGAGCAGAGGTGCAACTGAACCCAGCTCTGCTGACCCTGCAGGAGGGATGCAGCAGCAGGTGGGCGTGGGGGTCATTTAGGGCCCCAGACCCCCTGCCAGACCAGTCGGTCCTGGAAGGAAACCAGCAGCACAACAGTGGGCGGAGGGGGGGGGGGGGGGGGACATAAAGGTCAGACAGAGCAGCAGGGAGGGCAAGGAAGTCTGGGGGCTGAGCCCCCTTGGCCTGAGGGTGGAGAGGGGCGGAAGGGAAGGAGCTGAGAGAGGCTCCAGGACAGGCCGTGGAGTGGGGGCTGTGGCCATCGGGGAATTGGAAAGCCCTCAGGCGAGTGCGTGTCTGGGCAAACAGCCACCTCCCTCTCCCCTACACTGCCTGAGGCCGCCTGGCAGGGTCCCTGGGGCCAGCCTCCAGGGCACAGGGCAGAGGAGCAGGGCGCAGCCCGAGTCCTCACGCACAGCCCCTGTCCCCTGCGTCCTCGTGTCAGGACCTAGAGGGGCCTGTGGAGGGAGGACTCCACTCCACCCCAGACCCTGGGACAAGTGGGACTCCCTTCCTCCCCCAGTAAACGTGCAGAGTTCTTCCCCTGAGACCGGCAGCTTCTGCTGGACCTCTCCCGTTCCTTCCCCATGCCATCCCCAGCCCTCAGGCCTGTGGGGCAAGCCTCCTGAGGCTGGCAGCAAGAGGACACTGGTCACCCATGTCCTCCTCATCCATCAGACAGCAAACCCGAGCCTGGGAAGACAGAGCCGCAGGGCAGGGAGACGCCCAGGGGACAGGGTGCAATCCAGTCCAGCTTCCTGGAGGAAGTGGTCCCGCGGGGGCAGCTGGAGGAGGCAAAGATGACTTTCACTTCTCGAGGCATCTTGACTGAGAAGAAAGGCACCCGCGTTAGCCTGCCTCAGCTGGCCCGGCTGCGCACAAGGGGTTTTCTCAGACTTTCGCTTCCGTGACTACACTTGACCAGGCAGGCACAGCCGGGAAGAGCAGCCCTGGGAGAGGCCCGAGGGGCTACGACTGGGCCAAGACTCTCCGTCCAGGGC